AAAATATATCTCTCATGATAAACAGGAAGTTCTCAGAGGTATTGCATTACCCCCTAATGCAACACAGATTCCAACAGCTTGGCTCTTTTTCTCAAAATATGGTGACACCGCTTCCTTTAGGAAATCTCTGTTCTCTTCACAGCTTTTATCTGCTACAGATATGCAAAATTGCAAAAGAAATACTTGTTTTTAAAAATGATGATTCATCAGTTTTGGACTGTAGAAACAGATGTCTATAATTAATACAAAATCTTTTAAAAATAAGCAGAAAAGGCCCTTTGGGCTGTCAGATCAGTGGATTGAACAAAGTGCGAGGAAAGGAGACTGATACCTGCCCGCTCTCCAGCTTGCTCCTAAAGGCTGCCATGCACTTGTCATGAGATGTACAGCCATCAATGCTGGCTGAATCCAACTCTGGTGAAAATCTCAGAATGCCATTAGTGTACTGTCCCCTATCTCTTGTTTCTGTTCAGCCACTGCCCATGGTTTAGATTACATCTAATAACAGCAGACAAGTAGGACGTGTACTTGTGCCATCAGAGTCATCAGCCACACGCATTTGTGATGAACGTCACCCCAGCAGACGCCAACGTCAGGGAAAGCAAGTCCTGGTAAGCTCTTTTTAGAAGGCCTGGCATCATTCCCCAAACTGGTTCTCCATGAATAGACTTGTGTGTCTGCCAGGGTCTTTACTTGCACACAGTCAGATGCACTGGGGTCTGGATATCACCCCTCCAACTCCCCTTCTAGTCTCACAGCCCCACTACCTGTTCATTTTACTTTTAATTTATGTTCCTCCCCCTCCATATTCTCTTTTATTCATCATTGCATCACACTTTTTCCTCTGTCCCCACATCAGCATTACATTACAAAAGTTCCCTACGTTTTTAGCTATGAGCGAAAAGCATTAAAAATGCAATATTTGGACAACATAAAATCCTAATAATCCTGTTTCTATATGCTTTGACTTCTGCCTCTGCTGGAGGCATCACTTGTCCTGCCTACAGCTGAACCAAGAATAAGTGTGGGGGAAACACACTGCATGTTCTAGTATTTGTAAATTATTAGACTTCTGAGGTTATGTAATGATTTTATCTTCTTTTTTTTTATACTTTCTTAGTAATCAATGATACCAGAAACACAGAGATCAAGAGACTGATATTAGGTGCTACCTAATTCGTATTGTAAGAACTTTATAGACTTCCAGTGTATAAAAGCCTCAGCACAAGAAAACAGGGGTCTTGTAGGAGGACCTCAGTGAAGACTCACAAGTCACTGTAATATGCTGTGTAAATACTGAATATACATATGTTTTGTTTTGTCAGTCCTGTAAAATAACTTATCTGGTGATTCAATTCTCTTATCATCCCCAGCTTGTTTACTGAATTTTAAGTCTTGGGCAAGATGAAGCAAGCTCATGAGGAGTAGCTGGTTTTCAAAAGATACAAGCTCCAGATAACCGAGGACAAGTAAGGCACACAACAATATTGAAATCACCCAGAGTTTTATTGCAGCTGACTGAGACAGAGTGTGCTTTGAGGCTGGGAAATTTCCATTACTGAGCTGCAGGACAGTGCCTAGATACTGCTACTACTGCAGTTGAAAAATAAAAGCAACTTAATTGTATATAGACAGCAACAAAATGTCAGTATAATTAAAATAGCTAGATTTATATTATAAGCTTTTAAGGTTGCTGTAAAATTGATCCCTTTAAAAATATTTGGAGTATGATTGTAAACTTCTTGTTCAAAACTAAGGAACATAAAAATGACTTGAAATTGCAACTGTGTCTTCAAGCTATATTTGTGAGCAGCAAATCTAACAAGAACATGATAGATAATACAAGACATCTCCTACAACACTGACAGGTTCTGACAGTGACAGAACGATACCCAGTGCAAAATCAAGGCTGTTACTGACAGAATCATTCTGCAATTAATAATCTTTTGTGCTCCCTTTGGCATGCACAGAACAACCACAACAATCTGTTTACTCATCTTAACTCCGTGGTGTCTAAGCCACAGTAAGCTCCATGCAAAGTCCATCAGAATGTTGAATGCAGAAAAAAAGAAATACTGAGGAGAAAAGTAAATTTGTTCTGGCACCAAGTTCCCAGCAATTTGGATGAGAGACTGTTTTTAACCTCCCAGCAGTACAAGATTACTGTGAGAGCCTCCTTTTTGTTGAGGTGGCTTTACACCGCCAAAGCAGTGGTCGACATTCAGATGAAGATCAGTCTCAAGGGATTTCTGCTGTGTGTCACCCGTTCAGTCAAGCCAAGGGAGGTACTGACTAGAGGTTATTACCAGCTGATGCTCTATCTGAATCTTAGGATAGTTCCCTGTGGATCAGAGCTCATATCTAAGCAATTTCAGGAACCATCACCATGGTTCCTGAGTGCCTTAGAAGTTAAAATATATCTTTATAAAACATTTCAACATGTCTTATTTCTTTCTCTCATCACCCCCGCACAAAGACTTGAGGTCTTTTTAAATAATTCTGGTAAAATGGTATATACTTAATGCCCGTGTTTTGTTAGGATGGCGGGGAGGTTCAGGTTCATGCTGACATATTCGTACAGCTGCTACCAAGAAAGCCATGGCTGCAATGTCCCACGCAAATCACACAACGGTATAACTATGATGATTTTGGGAGATGTGGCTTCAGTTTTAAATTAGCACAAAGATCTGAGATGCTTCCCACCCCCACTACAGAGGGGCACTGTAGGGCAGCTCCATGGTCTTTGTCCTCAGCCTGACCCAGTACTGCTGATCCCAGGGCTCTGGGGTCTTGTGGTACAATGTTCCCTTTTCAAGAGACCTATTTACAGAAAAAGAGTTAACAGTTAAAGCATAAATGAGTAACAGTGCAGGGAATTTTGAGATCCTGGTTGTAGGATGAACTCATTCATATGACTCCTGAACCTGACTGAAGATGGAGACAGTCCAAACCATGGCATATTTACACTGATTTAGCTTATGGCTTAGCTTTTTCTTAATATTCCTGTTTCTGCTTACACAAACTCTTCTTAGCAGTGTTTTGATTTTTGTTTGAAATAAAAAGTTTTTTTCCTCCTGCTTATCATTATCTGCTATGATTTTTTAGTAAGTATCACCTCTTCTCCCCCAACACAGCCCTTTATTTGATCATGGAACTCATTATTTTCTTAAAACACATTTATGTGCTTTCCAGAATTGAGGCTTTAATGTCACCTCGTTAAGGCATAAGACCCAACATTAAGTGCAGGTAATGGCAGCGTATTTAAGTAGGCTGAAAACCGATTGATACCACTCCCATCTGCTCTGCTATCTCAGCAACTGCAGAGCTTCCCTGAAATACTGCACCGAGTTCTGCCACGGGAGGAGTTGTTGGGAGAGCATGCCATAGCCTCTGACCACTTATTCGGGCTTAATTGGATTAGACATTTATTTGAACACAGCACTCAAAGGAGCTGACAGTCCTTCCACAATTTCCTGGCCTGCCTGGTCGGTTTCCTTTTTGATTAGACACATCCCAGTGAAGGTAGAAAATAATCTACACACCAGTTTTTAATTAAATTTGGTATGACAGGCTGTATTTAGGCTACATTCTCCATAATAATTTGTTTTGCATTTGCTGATGACAGATTTTTTTATGTATGTAATCAGAACTGCAAGCAAATTTTAATTTTTAGTGTTAAAAGAACCTTTAAAATAATATTTTACTTGGTTTCAGAAAATTTAAACACTCACATTTAGTGCTGTCTAAAATTTCTGAGAAAAATATCAGTGTTTGTGAAGCGCAGAACAGATCATGAAACAAAAAGCACTACACACACATAAAAATTAATACATCAGAAGCATCATCCCAGTCAAATACACAAAACCACAAGCCGTAGAGTTGAATGCCTGTTAAATACAGACAGGAGTTTATTAGATTTTGGTGCTCATCCCTGCCAGCTTCCCCTCCATCAGCCTGGGCTGGGTGGCACCCGGAGCCAGCCCCGCAGGGCCGAGCTTGCCCCAAGGGAGAGGCCTTGGGGACGCCTGGGTGTGCGGCCAGACAGGGCCGGCCCTCCCCAGCCCCGGGCAGAGCTGGCCCGGAGCCCCGCGGGGGCGAGCGAGGGGCAACGAGGGGGCTGCACAGCTGGATACAGCTACGGGAAACTGCCATGGCTTTTGGCTGATGGCAAAGGAAGCTGGTTCGGAGCAGGAAGGGCCAGAAGAAGGTGGGACGCCAGAAATGACCTCGGGGAGTTGAGAAGCGAGACAGGGACATGGGTGGGGACAGCTTCAAGGCAGCGACAGATGAGAAGCAGCAGAGATGTTGGTAGTGAAAATGTCAGTAATAACCAGGGGTTAATATTTGTTGTCAGGGTCATTAGAGAACGGCAGAAAAAAGGCAGAAGTGGAGTTAAGAACCTTGAGTGTAAACTCCAGCAAACCAGGAAAAACTACTTTAGCAAAACTCTGCCTTACAGAAAGACAGAAAAGGTACGACACTGTTGCAAGCAGTGACCAAACCATAAGAAACCTTCAATTGAGATTTCACGTCCCCTACAAAGTTTATTTACATTTATACGGGAAGCAGCAACAGGAAAACGTAATTACACTTAAAAACAACATGCTAAAAAGGGGTTGCAAAACTGTGCGCTGAAGACGGGGAGTGTCACAAATGAACTGGTCCTTATAGCAGCCGCCGAGCTCTGGCGCACGCAGCGCGGTGGGAGCCGGCCGGGCGCTGAGGGAGCTGAGGGCGTTGAGGTCTGTCCGGCCGCGACTCCATTTCCCGCCCATCACCTGACGCCTCTAATGGCGCCGAGCGCCCACGTGACCCGCCGTGCTCCCCACGTGACCCGCGGCCGCCGCGCCCCCTCCCCAGCGGCTGCGGTTACCGCAGTCCCCGGCCCCGCCCCTGGCCCCGCCCCCTGGCGCGCGTGGCCCCGCCCCGCGCCGCTCCCTGCGCGCGCGCCCCCGCCCCCCCCACTCCGCTGCTCCCCTTTCCACCTCCCGGGCCGGGCGGTGCGCGCGCGCGCGGCCGGCGGCGCCTCCTCAGAGCGGCCGCGGCGGGTTCGGCGCTGACGAGGTCGACGGGCCGGGATCGGCGGAGCGGGCGGTGTCTCTTCCTCCCTCCTCCTTCTCCTCCTCCTCTCTCCTCCCTCCCGCATCCTCCTCCTTGCCCCCCTCCTCGCCCGCCTCCGCCCCCCCGCACTCAGGCACCGCGGTTCCCGGCACGGACAACATGGCGGCGGTGTCGGGGGCAGGGGCTGCGGGCGGCTCCGCCAGCGCCGGCGGCCCGGAGATGGTGCGAGGACAAGTGTTCGACGTGGGGCCGCGCTACACTAACCTCTCCTACATCGGCGAGGGGGCCTACGGCATGGTGTGGTGAGTGCGACCGCCGGGGCAGCGCCCTTGCCCCGGACAACTCCCTCCTCCCTTCCCTCCCTCCCTCCCGCCGCCCTGCCCGGCCGCGGGCCCGGCCCGCCCTTGCCCTCGGGGAGGGGGAGCAGCTCTGCCTCGCTCTCCTCGGCTCTGTCTCTCCGTCCGTGTTCCCGAGGTTGTCCCTCTGGCATCACCCTTCTTTCCTCTTCCTCCCTGCACCCCCCCCCATCCCACCGTCGGTGGGTGCAGCTGAGCGTCTCGTTTCGTTTCGCTCCTGCGTTTATTTTCTTTAGTATCTTCTGCCTCTGGAGTTGGTCGCTCTCGTTATTTCCTCCGTCTCCGTAGTGCGATTGCAGATATTCAGGAAGGAGGGGAAGGTGTTAAATCCTGCTGGCAGCCCCGCGTCCCTCCCAGTGCCCTGCGAGGGCTCACCTGGCTGCAGCAGCCCGAGGTCGAGGGGGATAAAAAAGGTGAATCTGAGCACAGGAGTTGCTGCCGCTGCCTGACTTTGCTCAGGATGTGCTGTCTGTGCTGCAGAGCCGGCCGGATTAGTGCCTGCGTTAACGTGTGCAGGTGAAAGTTCTCTTCAGCTGTCCTGGCTCTAAATTATATTGCATTATAAAGACTTAGACTGAGTCTCACTAAAAAGCGATCATGTATGTTTGCTGTGGGTAGCATCGGTCTTAAAGAGTGAGGTGAGCGAACTACAAAACTAACTGGATTAAGAGTGTGAGATGGATTTTTTTAGCAGTCTCAATGAGCTGGGGTGATGCCTGTGATCTGTGTATCTAATGACTGGGTTATTAACCTGGCATGCTTAGTGATCTTACTTAGGATTTCATATTTTGTTTTTCACTAGTAAAACCTCTTCCATTAGTTCAAAAAAAACCCAACCTGTAGTCCTGAAATAACTTAAGGGATGCAGATGAAAAACTCTTTTTTGTTGCTGTTCTATCAACTTTCTTGCAACACTGCCTCTGTTTCTTTAGTATGGTTTTTGATCATAGGTACTAAAAGCGACTTACAGGCTGTGACTGCATGAAAGCTTTATCAGCAATAATTTCTCCCTCTGATGAGGAATCTTTTGTAAAGCAGTGCATTTCTCAGCGAAGACACCTCACAGCCTCCAGCAGCGTGTTACAGATTTTTATAGCTGTAGGTTTTTGCACATAGTCACTGAACTGTGCTGGCCTGTCAGGATGAAGTAATTGTTTGTTTCAGGGAGGGAGCTTTCATAGAGGCCTGAGTCTAGCTAGGAGATGAACCTCTCTCTTAAGAGTTTTGTGTTGTGGCCTTCACTTTTTTTTTTTTGGTGTGGGAAGAACTTTTAAAATGTAAATCAGAAATTCTGATTACAGTGTAAAAATATCCTTGTTATTGTTTCAGTGTTAGAAATCGCATCAATATATGCAGTTCAAAACTTGTTGATGTAGCTTCTGGTACAGGCTGTATTTTATTATGGTTATTTTATCATCTGAGCCAGGGCAAGGAAATTGGTGCAGATAATCTTAGTAGGGGCTGCACTGGTTTGTACGCACAGTCAGGTTTTCGAAGGTCCTGGGGAATAGCATTGCCAAGGTGTGTGCTGGGAGCAGTTCACCTCAATGGCGTGTTAAAAACTGTTTCACAAACAAAGTGAAAAGCTAAAATGTTTCACCACAGATCAGGGACTGCAAAGAAGCAGCAGGATGGCAGTTGATGCCCTTTTTTGGCATCCCTGTGCCAGTGAGCAGATACAGGCCACTTCTGCCCCTCCAAATTGTGTGTGGTAAACTTATACACTGAAGCTGTTTCCCCTCCAAATCCAAAAGGTTATTTGAAAACTTCATCTGATACTTTATGTGTGCTGTGAATGCTGTGTAAAATGACTATCAAAATTTCCAAATCTCCAGTTCAGTTGAAATATGCGCTTGGCTCCTGTGTTTTCTATTGTAAAATTATTAACATGAAATACCATGTTACATATTTTGTGCTCTTGATTATTGCTCTTGTGCCTTGTGTATGAAATGACAGGGAGCAAAGTCTCAGTTTATAGCATGTACTTGGTCAGGAAAGTGTTGGGTGCACTTGTAGCTAATGCCATAGCAGCTGTGCCATATTGTAGTGACTGCGATGAAATGCGGTTACCTATCAATCCCAGCCATGCGGGCTGTGCAGTTCAGTGCTCTGTGTTTCATGTTTTGCTCTGGTTGCTAATGCAGTAAGGATCCGCAGAAGCTTCTCCCTCGGGGGGTGGGGTAGAGGGCAAGCCGTGAGTGTGCAGATGGAGATGTTTCCTGCAACTGCAAAATCCATTTAAATTTGTACACTTTAATAAAGGAAAGCAAAGCAGACCCTGTTGGTTTTGTTTTAGACCCACAGCTAATGTGGACCTCTTTGGAGATGATGGTTATTTACAAGTGCACTCTGCCATAAGGCTTAATTACATGGCAAACGAGTGTCTTTTGACTCTTAAAATCCTTCAGTCTCTTTCTCATTTTTATCCTAATTCTTATGTTTCTAGATCACTGGATTAGGGATTTGAAAACAATAAAATGCTTTCAATTATATGAGTAAAAGGGCAAATGAAATATTCTTAGGATAGTGCTGTTACGGTCAGTCTTCCATTTTGATTTTGCAGCAGAGAGAATAATGTTTGAGTAATATTGATCACAACATAAAATACCAGTACAGGAAATAGAGGAAGATGCTGGCTGCAGAGACTGTACGTGAATGTTCTCTCATCTGGGTTTGAAAACCCTTAAAGGCATTTAACTATTTTTCCTAGTGCAGTCATTTTTTTACATAATCAGGTTTTGAGTAAAAATAAACTCAGCAGAGCAGTATATTTACTGCTGTGTTGTGGTTGCACTTTCTCAGCTTCATAAGCAGAAAAGGCATGGTATCAGGCCAAACCCCATCCTAATGTCCTCCAGTTCAACTCTGCCAGAAACGTTCAGCCTGTGATACAGGCTTGTGCCTTACTCTTGTTGCAGAGGGTGAAGTGGTAGGAGGTGGATCCCTGTCAGAGCCCCTTTCTAACCCATTTTTGTTTCGGTCATTCTGCATGTGAAACTAGGGGCTGAGCACAGAGGAAAGTTTGAGCCAAAATCCTCAGCACTTCCTAGGACTGCAGGACATTGTTTGAGCAATTACTTAGTCATACAGTCATGTTTGTTAGTCTGGCTTAATTTATCCAAATATATGTAAATGTTGTGTTGTCTTCTTCTCCTCTGCTTTCACTTAAGAATTGTTAGTTGTTTTGAGGGTTGGTCTAAAGGTCTTTAAGTGACTTTCCCTTTCATTCAGTGATAAGGAGTTCTCAACATCAGAGTCAGATGGAACCCACTTTGAGACCAGGTCTGATAGTTTCAGAATTACCTTTTGGACGCAACAAATTTGGAAAGGTTATTAGAGTTGTTTCTTTCTCCTCTTATATGTGGCTTTTATTATTAGAAGTAGTATTTTTTTAAAGCAGCCTATTAACAGGCCATACTTCAAACACACTGGAACAGCAATAAAAACAGGATAGAACTGAACCTTAAATTTCCAGGGTGACTTGTTCTTCATCCAGGTCGTCAGTGGTAATTTGGCAAGGATGATAATTTGACAGCAAAAAACAAATAATCATTTTGGAAATAAATGGTGAATTGAATGTGATAGGGATGTTCTCATTTTTATCCTAGTTTTTGGAAGCTTTTTTTGTCATCAAGCTTATATGAATGTGAAGAAATATCAGTGCTGCAAATAACTTCTTATAAATAAGCAGTTGAATGCAGATGAGTGCAGTTGGAAGAAAATAATCTGCAAGCTCAAATCTTGGATTTCTTGGTCTGAATTTGCCGTGTTACAAAGAGAGCTTTGTGTTACTGTTGTGTTGTGGAAGAGTGATATTGGAGGTTTAGGTAGTCAATAGATAAATGTTAAAGTAATACTGAAAAGAATACTTAAAACATTTGGCAGAAGATTCTTTAAAGTTACACTTCTCTCTGTTGTCTCATGGAACAGCCCTACTTTGAGGGCATCAATAATTTAAAATTAAGAGAAGCATATTAATAAAGAAACTAAAACCAGCATGAAATCAGGAATAGAATGATCTGAAAGGTATAGATATTTATATAAAGCATGAAAACTTGAACGGGATTGATGGTTGCATAATAGTTTCTTTAGAGTTACATAAAAAGGTGGCTTTTGCATCCTCTGTGAGGGTCAGCCTGGTGGCTTGGGGTGGGCTGCTCAGTGGCAGTGACCAGAAGGAGCCTGTCATGTTTGTTCTGTTACCTCTTGCCTTGATCCAGAGAGACAGAGAGCCCTTTAATGATGGAGCCAGTGCAGGGATCCGTGCCCCTGTTGGTGTGCACGTTTAGGAAGCTCAGGTTGGGTATGGTGTCCATACCTGGTAATTAACATGCTCTGTCTGTGTGATAAGGAGAACAGCGACCTGATACAACTTAGCCAACCTGCCCCAGTGCAAGGATCAGAGGAGGGAATTCCGGAGTGTAATTGGTGGCTAGTTATCAGCTTCTTCCCTCTGGGGAGAAGGCAGATATAAGCACTTCCCTTCAGTCACTCAAGCTTCTAGCACTTGCCTAACCTGGCGTGGGAACCCAAAGGAGAAATTAGAGCTGTTTTTCCTGCTCTCCCCGGTGATGGACAGGTGGCCCCTCACAGGCTGTGCAGCAGAGATGGGCAGCAGTCACTCGCTCTGTGCCAGAGCTGTCTTCGGTTTATGGACAATCTGAGGTAGCAACTTCTGCTGTCAGCCCAGAGCAATGGGGTACTAGCTTAGCTGAAGAGTGCACCTCATGGACACTTGCATTTTGTAAATAAATACACATTTTTGTAGCACAGCATGCTCCATCTCGTGGAAACAGACAGAGAAAACTTACGGGTTTTCTTTGAAGCATGCTTTATTAAGGAAGTAAGGCTTATATGTTCACAGCATGCATATTTGGCTGCATCAGTCCATCTCCCATACCACTACAAACAATCCTAGTACCTGTTGCTGCCTTCCATCAAATCTG